GATCAAATAGCATAGAAAAATAGAACATTCTTTTCTCTATCAGACTATATAAAAAGAAAGTTTCTTTAACCTTTCTATAAGGGATAAAAATACCACTGCCACTACTTTTGGTATGCCCTAAGTAAATATATTATGTTTATATCGTACATAATTGTAATTGTCAGAATGGTTTTACCTAAAATAGTACTTGCCATAACACTACATTCAATATGCCATCCTGGTCGCCCTAATCCCCATGGTGATGTCCAAATTGGTTCACCTTGTTTACTTTTTTTCCACAATACAAAATCACAATTATTTCGTTTTTCACTCATTATCTGGCTTGTTCCATTTTCATCTATGATAGGTGCGCTTAATACACCTTCACCTTCAGCCAATGCTGCTAGATCACCTATACAACCTGGCTCTAATTTTGCATACGTATGCTCAGAATTAAATTTAATTGTATCAAAATAAACGGAATTATTTGACACGTAAGCATAACCATTTTCAATTATTTTTTTAATAAACTCAATTATTTCATCGACATATTCACTAACTCTTGTTAAAATATGTGGTGGTAGTATATTTAATTTAAACATATCATTATGAAATTCATTCTCGTAAAAACGAGCTAATTCTAAAAATATTGAATTATCGAATTGTTTCCCATCTTTTCCAGATGTTAAATCAAGATATGAACTAAGAATATCGCGAGTATCAGATAATAATTTCTAAAAAGAGAAGAATAATCTAATTTAAGTTTTAATGGAATTGTGAAACCGTTAGAGTGAAGCAGACAACCGAAATTCTATATGCATTGTACATGAAATATACACTGCTCAATTAGATTCAACATTTCTAATAGGACTGTACCGTTAAGGGTTTCAATTCAATATCATAAAGAACTTTTATTGTCTTCTCACTTTTAAAAGTGCTAGCTAAAAACTCTCGAAAAGTCGGTTTGGAACAATTTTGTTTTCTTACCGTTCGTAATGAATCGATGTCAAGATCAGCACTGGATGATTTTAAATTTGTTTTCAATTCTATTATTGATTTTTCTACGTTTGTCACTTGTTTGTCATACATTGATTGTTTATCTTTATCTGTTTCGCGTAATTTCAAATTGATTGTATGCTAAACAGCGAAAAATGTTTAATTATCACAATTTTAATCTTATTTTTGAACAACTAACTTTCAGAGCCATATGACAATCATCTATAATCTTTTCTAAAGTTGTTTCACTGTTTTCAATGTACTGTTTAAAAAGATATCGCTCACGAGCACGCTTAATAATCTAAAGTAAAATCAGTCTAGAATCAAATAAGATGTGGTAACAGCACGGAATTATACTTTATCATCAATATCTGTTATATTCATACAATATAAAACATTATAGCCAAAATAGTCTTGCAGCACACGACGTAAAATATCGGATGATATATAACATCTAAACAAACAAACAGAAGGATTAAGAAAAGCTATCACATAACACAAAAGGATGGCGTCTACCTCGCATGTCCCATATGAGACGTATCGTAAACTGTTGGACCACATGTGTACCAACGGATTTCATTGTCCTTCAACGGTACAAATATTTCCTAAATGAGAGAGAAAATTTGAGTAGGATATTGGCGCAAGATCTATTAGCAGCATAATATTCACCTTTTTCTTTGTCAAACTGTTGTATAAACGAAGTGGTACGGCTTCGACCGCAGGACATTTCCAGTGTGATCGCTTATTCAAAGTCATTTTTACCTTTTCATCGATATTTGTTAAGAATAATTGAAAAAGCTCTTTTATATGAAATAAAGAGGCGAAGAATGTTGAAATAAATCTTTTAAACACACCCACAAGCTTAATATTGCATCACCAAAATTTTTGACATTAATTGTTTCTTTTTTTGTATCCATTGTGTTTCATCACCCATACACATCCATAAGTGTGTATGAGTGTGTTTATTGCATGTTATGTGACACTAATATAAAGAGAAAAATGGATTTGCGCGACAGGTCTTTTTTATTCGTTTAGAATTTACTCCAATGAAAAGCCATTTTACAACCTCGGTTCGATTGAATTTATTCCAAAAACGAGAGTATCCGAGAATCATAATATCTGAGAAAAACTCCCTCTTCTTTTGTTCTGTTTTTCTTAGCCAGCTGGAACGTATATCATTTCATTCGGGTGTTAAATACACAACCGCTTGGTTCTATACCCAGGTGATTTTTCTGCAACATAAATCTGCTAAAATCTTTGCAGTAACTTTGCAGATTCTGCAAAGGGTGTCTACAGATTTGAAGCAGATCTGCATTGCAGATGTGCCAAGATTTGACCAAAGAT